TTGTTTAAATTAGTAATAAGTAAATCCGGAACATCTTATAAACTGTCCCTTCATGTAGACGACCTTCTTTTATATATAGCAAACCCCATTTCATCTTTACCGCCAATCCTCATGATTTCTGAATCATTTGGCAAATTCTCTAGATACAAATTGAATCTTCAAAAGAGCGAATTTTTTCATATTAATTTAGCAGCTGACACACTTTCCTGACATCCTTTCCCCTTTATGTGGGCTCAGGAAGGATTCAGATAGGAATATTTATCACTAAGTTAGTCACAGCTCTCTTTAGAAAAATAAATAAATAAAAATAGTTCTTTAATTGATGTTTATAAGGTAGATATAGAGAGATGGTACTATCTTCTAACATTGCTAACTGGTCATATTAACTTACTAAAGACAATTTAGCCAAAATGTTTCTCATTGTCATTAACAAGTAATTTATTTTGTCACTAAACCAGACAACTCACTCTTTTTTGAGGTGCGGAAAATGTGCACGGATAAGACGAAAGGTTCTCGAACTCCCAAAGTCCAAACGATGCCTCGATTTACCAAATTTTCGACAGTATTACTGGGCCTATAATATCAATAAGCTTTTGTATTGGACCAACTTATCAAGAGTTCCTGAACATCCTGTTTGTGCCCGAATGGAATTGGAAAATTCTCCCTTCATTCGATGATTTACTCTCAGCTTCCTATACATAGTAAAAATGTCTCAGACAGTTTAATAGTGGCCAATATGGGTTCAATTTAGGAAGCATTTTGGGTTATTTAGACCATCAGCTCTGGCTTCCATGTAGTGAACCATTTCACTTTTCTACCATCATGTTCTGATCCAGTTTTTCGTGACTGGTCTTCTAGGAGTCTCAATACCATCAAGGACCTTTATGATAAAGGAATACTGGTAACACTTTACAATAAGGTTCATTAGTTAACATTAGTAAATGCATTAACTAACATGAACTAACCATGAGCAATGCATTAGTTACAGTGTTTATTAATCTTTGTTAATGTTAGTTAATACAAATACAGCTGTTCATTGTGCGTTCATGTTAGTTCACAGTGCATTAACTAATGTTAACTAATACAACCTTTGATTTTAATAACGTATTAGTAAATGTTGGAAATGATATTAACTAAGATTAATAAATGCTGAAGAAGTATTGTTCACATATTGTACAGTACATGTTAACTAATGTTAACTAATGAACCTTATTGTAAAGTGCTAACGGAATATTAAAGTTTATCTGATAATAGCTAATCTCATGATGATGATCATAATAATGCCTATTGTTATTATAATGACTATTATAAAATGGAAGTATTAATTTTCTAACAAATAATTTAGTGTAACTGATAACAACAACAGCAGTAATAATAATCATTCCAATATTATCATCGCCGTTACTATTACTATTATAATATTATATATATATATTATTTAAGTATTTATATATCAAATAGTAAAGTGTATTTAATAATAGCTACACTAGATGAATCATCATCATCATTAACATCATCAGCATCAATTATATTTGACAAACAGCCCTATTTGTCATACAATTACTACTTCTGAGAAAGCGGTCTCCGGTTACAACAACTAGAAATGTTTGAATATTTTATTATGACGCTAATGAGAATGAGACTAAAATCTGTGACGAGAAAGCAAGCGATCACGTAGGAAGGAGAGATAAAGAGGAAGTTGAAAGACTTCCCCGCAGGTCCGTTTAAGCATTCTGGGATAAATTGAATAGACCTCCGAATGACCCTGCTCATTAGTGGAGCAGAGGGAGGTTAAGGAGGAGCACACAACTGTGTGTGTGCTTGTGTTTGTTAGACAGAGTGTGTGTGTGCAAGATAGAGAGAGGGATTAATGAAGAGGTTAAGGTGGGGAACACGTCTGGTGGGAAGGGTCAGGCTCTGAGACTCAGATGAGTTATGGGAAAGCTGTTCCCATGACCCACAGAGTTCATTTGTGTGGGTATGTAAGTGTATGCATGTATTGAAAATGAAGTCAACTGCATTCTAAAGCAGACACACTAAGCAGACTCCAGTGATTAGCTGAATTAATTCTAGGAGGGGCTGGAAATAATAAGCATAACAAGACTCGAGAGCATGTACATAACTCTGTTGTGCAACAGAGGACAAGCTAGAAAACCCAGAAATGAAACAGAGACTGAATCCAAATTTGCATTCACACTATCAAGGGGAATCAAGCAAATGCTTTTAAATCAGTATGAAATAACGCCACGTGCCAAGATACATTTTGAGGATAATGAAAGCAGTCTTTGTACTTCAGAACATGAATTCTATATTACAGAACATAAAACTTCTGGAATCAAAAAATAAATTGTATATATTAAACTAGTTAACCACATTAAATCATTTAATATTTCAATAAAACATTTTTAAAACAAACAGTTTTGTCATAATTTCAGTGGAAATACCAGAAATATCTTAAAGGGTTAGTTCACCCAAAAATGAAAATTCTGTCAGTATTTACTCACCCTCATGTTGTTCCAACCCCGTAAGACCTTCGTTCATCTTCGGAACACAAATTAAGATATTTAAGATATTGCATACAGTCCATAGGCTTCTTGAGGGACTGGCTCTTGCTGTCCTCGAAAAGTCATTAAAGACATCGTTAAAATAGTCCAAGTGGCTACAGGGGCTCAATCTTAAGTTTATCAAACGACGAGAACACTTTTTGTGCGCAAAAAAACAACAAAAATAACGACTTTATTTCAACTATTCGTTTATTTCTCCCTCTGCGCGAGTCAGGTTACTAGTTTAATAGCGTAAGCTTCTGTTATTGTACGTCACACGCATCACACACACATGACCAGCGTCGGCCAATAGTGAGCCTACGTGTGACGTAGCTCTACGCAATCACACTACGTTAACTGACTTACAGGCTCATGGAGAAGGAAGTGAATAGTTGAAATAAAGTCGTTATTTTTGTTGTTTTTTTGCGCACAAAAGTGTTCTCGTCGTTTGATAAACTTAAGATTGAGCCCCTGTAGTCACTTGGACTATTTTAACGATGTCTTTAATGACTTTTCGGGGACAGCAAGAGCCAGTCCCTCAAGAAGCCTATGGACTGTATGTGTAACGGAGGCCAACTAGTAGTTGTTGTGCGAGTAAACCTCACTCCCCGATCTCAATAGGCGCTCTAGCGACTGTGCACTTAAAAGCCTTTAATCTTCTCAAAAAACGACAGTGTTCCTTATAATCCGGAGCGCCTTATATATGGATCATCATTTTATACGGTAGGTGGCGGTAAAACTCCTAAGCGGTGAGCAGCCGGTAACAAGAAGTAGACGAATGAGAACGTCCTCGTCTCAGTTCTCGCGCATGCGCCCATAAGGAAGTAATGGAATAGTGGAATAAAGTCGTTATTTGTGTTTTTTTCGCACAAAAAGCAGTCTCGTCGCTTGATAAACTTATAATTGAGCCGCTGTAGGCACATGGAATATTTAAACCTTTTCTTTAATGACTTAATGGGCCGTCAAGAGCCAGTCCCTTAGGCAGTCTATCTAGGACTGATCTAGCTCTCAGATTCAATCAAAAATATCTTTATTTGTGTTCCGAAGGTCTTACGGGGTTGGAACAGCATGGGGGTGAGTAATTAATGACTTAATTTTCATTTTTGGGTGAACTAACCCTTTAAATACCGTTTTGGACAATGGGGGCCTTTGAGTCAAAAAGGTTGAAAACCACTGGTCTATTATTGTCAAAAGCATACAGGTTTGGACAACGCATTCCCTTTAGCGTCATATGTGATGCTATATGACAAAACGGCATTTTGAAAATAGGTTGAAATAGGTTGAGAAAGTTAGTTATAATGACCCAAGTATTAAATAATAGTCGGGTTTAAATCGGACTCGGGCTCATGATTACAGTTAATGTGTCGGGCCGGGTCAGACTCGGACACAACGTGCACAGGCTCGTATAGGGTCGGGCTTGATTTTTTGGGCCCGATCTAAGCTCTATACCACAGGGGGACTTTAAATATTCTTTAAACATCCTAAAACAAGTAGTAGCATAAACAAATTAAATAATATCCAGCTAAAACAAGAAAAAAATGTTCCATGAATGATGTAAAAACAATGTTTTTGTGCTTACATTTTGAGAATATTATTAAAGAACAGATCATTTTGAAAGAGCATTATATTAATATTACTGGAGGAACATTTGTTCATGCATATGAAGAGTTCAGATGCAAAAGCCTCTAAATGCCATTTGAAATTTTCTTCTAAAATGACCATTTTTATCAAGCTTGTATATTTAAGTTCAGTAATTTCACTTAAATGACAATTAATAGGTAATCTTCATTGCCATTTAAGTGAAATTACTGAACTTAAATATACAAGCTTGATAAAAAATGATCATTTTAGAAGAAAATTTCAAATGGCACTTAGAGGCTTTTGCATCTGAACTCTTCATATATCTTTGAGAGAACCTTGCCAGAATGTTAGCTGAAGTTCTGAGAACATTTCCTGTTAGCTGGGTTAGAACCCACTGACTACACAGGACAGTATGCCAACTCAAATTCATCCATGATAACTGCATCATTTTCAGCATCCTAGTCATTGTAGCTGTTGTCCTGCTCTGATGGGGTATTCTGGGAGGGGAGATAGATGCTCTTCAACTTGAAAAGGTCACAGACAACTCAAAGGACTGGCTGATCATTAAGTTGTTTCTAAAAAAACTGTTTGTAATAGCACTAGAGTGTCTCTTCAGAATGTTGTTCACAGGAGACTAGGGACCATCCACAACAAGTATGCTCAGACACACCATAGCTGAAAAGAAATTTAGTCGGAATGATGGCAAAAAAGTGAGGCCAAAACAATCTTGGAATAGTATGCAAGCACGCACACTCGTACACTGAAAAAAAATCATTGCCAGGTGAGAACGCCAAACCCATTTCCACACTAATCAACGGTAAGCGGGTTCTTGGAAGCATTATTGCTTTAACATGTACGTCAAAAGACGAGACTAACCTCTCTGTCGATGCCTGAACCGATGGTGCTGATCTCTCCTGTGGCTCCGTTAATGGTAAACATGTTAGGAAAGGGCATGTGAGGCGTCTGGCTCAGGATGCGATAGTGCACCAGCCCGTTCGCCGTGGTGCTGTCGTCGGCATCAAAGGCCGTAACCTGCATTACAGAAGTGCCTGCAGAGGAAGAGAGGTAAACAAGCGTGAATCAAAACACTAGCGCATGCATAATCGCTCAGTTTCTGTCACAAAGCAGCTGTGCTTCTTTGCCCGAGTCGCTAAGAACAAACACGCACAAGCGGTGGGTATTTGATCGGTGATTACAAATTTTGTGTGCTGCTCCCGGTGTCAGAGCAATGTCCAAACGTCACATCTGATTACGCGGTCTTTCTCACCTAAGCTGTCTCTTCTTCATCATCCCTGATTCTGCTCTCCATACAAAATCTGCTCGGTTAATGAGGGTCCGCCTGCCTCTCTCACCTCCATCACATTCGTTATCAATCAATCCCGTGAGGGCAGTGTCAAACTCGAAAATTACTGATAGTAATGTCTGTAGAAGTTCGTTTTTAATAGGCTTATTTGTTATTATTTGAAGTTTCCCGCCCATTTCCAATTTAAAGGACTTTTTGATGAAACAAATGTAGCTACCTGTCAGCAAAAATATGGTAAAACAATGTAATACAAATAATACTTATAATATATTTACATTGAGCTTATTCACTTTAGTTCTAAAGAGTAAACCATATGTTTATTATTTATTAAAACATGAAATACCCACAATATTACATTTATTTAAATTTGGAATACTATTTTATAAAAATTTTAAATTAATAATGATACATAAATGAATGATTACAAATGTATAAATGATTAATTATATGATAATGTTCATATATATATATATATATATATATATATATATATATGAAGAGTTCAGATGCAAAAGCCTCTAAATGCCATTTGAAATTTTCTTCAAGAATTTTAATTTTTATCAAGCTCGTATATTTAAGTTCAGTAATTTCACTTAAATGGCAATGAAGATTACCTATAAATTGCCATTTAAGTGAAATTACTAAATTTAAATATACAAGCTTGATAAAAATGATTATTCTAGAAGAGAATTTCAAATGGCACTTAGAGGCTTTTGCACATGAACTCTTCATATATATATATATATATATATATATATATATATATATACACACACACACACATTAAATTATTCTAGGTGAACTTGATATATTATGTGAGAATACTGTTTGTATTTCATGTCATCATCAATGTACATTATGCTGTTGCCATAACGTCCCCTTGGAATTATCAGGTTCTATCTGACATTTTTGTCAAAATTGAGTTATTCACATATTCTTATTCTGTGACAATTTATTTACATAATGTGATGTGTTTTGTACATTTAGGGTCCCTGTTATTTTTATGTTTGAAAGAAACTTGTTCCCCATACACATTTTCCTATATGGAATGCAAAAACTTCTCAATATCTCTCAATATCTCTGAATATCTCTCAAAGCTCAATATCTCAAAACTGTTCAGAACGCAGATAGAACCTTATAATTCCAAGGGGACGATAACACACACACTACATCATGATGTATTTTGTTGTTTTTTTTACACACATTTTGTTTTGAGACACATTTTCATTATTTTGGCCATAATCATCAACTAAAAAGAAATGCTCATTGTTTGATTATATGCCATTGCAGTCAGAGTGGAACAGTTTAAAATGAATAATTATGTCTTGGCTAAACGACTAAAACAAAAACAAACCAAAAACGTGTGCCAACTTTAAAAGCCTCTTCTCTTGCCTCAATTTGTTCTAAGTCGCATGTTTAAAAACAGCAATCAACAGTGTGAAATGTGTTTGCGTGAGTGTGAGGCGTCAGGTGCCGGATGATGCGGCAGGGGGTCCGTCTGGCCTTTAGTCCCCAAAACATGTTTATCGATTTCTGAGAGCTTGTCTCACACCATCTCAAATGTGAGTGAGCAATAAGAGGCCTCCAAATAGAGGAAACAGAGGATAAACCTCATTGCGACGTGGGCAAAATGTCACCCTGTCATTCCGCGTTAATGTCATTCTGTCGCTCCTGTGTTCCCGTCACTTCTGTCATTTAATATTAATGGCCCCGCCGTCCCAGAAAGCCGGTCCGAGGGGAGCGGCCACACGTTTAGCATCGCGTGCGACCTCACGCGTTTTTGCAGGTTTCTCCAGCCCAGCTGTAACTGTGCGGACTGGAGATAGTGTCATCATTTTGTGACAACACACCTACGAGGGGATAATTGTGGCTGAGAGTTCTATTTCAAAGTTCATTAAGTTTCAGAGCAGAATCTGTCACTATACGCCCCATGAGAAAGAGGAAAAGGAAGAAACGAGCGAAGGGAGAAGAAAAACAATTAAGCCCTCTTCTGATAGGGCTACATCAATTTTTGAACAACCAGAGAGCGAGCGAGCACATGCGGAGGGATGAAGAAGACAAAAGAGTTACATGTCAACTCTGTCGCCTTCAATTTTCAACGAGTGCCATTCTGTAACGGGATTAAATGCTCTTTATGTGTAAAAGTGAGAGAGATGACCATGCAGGAAACAGTTAACCCCTGGGCCTTTTCAATTGCTTTTTAATTTGAAAACTAATTCAATGCTGTAATTGCTTTTCGACTTAAACCACTGAAGCTCAAAATTCCTCCTTTCATTAGACGCATGCTGGTCGGCAGCCTCTCTCTTTCACAGGTGTATAAGAAATTGGGGAGTCATTAGTTTTAACAAGTTTAACATAACCAGCCTGAGAATGGAAACCAACCCTTGCAGCGCCGGCTCGGTTAAAAGCAACTTATCCTTTCCAATCTTTCCCCATTTCAAGGCTGTCTGATGTGAAAATAAGGATCCTTCCCCAACCCAAACATTCGGAATCCATCTCCGTTGCAATTTTCACTCGCTTACGGTACGGATGGATCACAACGTGCTTACATTGAAAATACGACATAAAAGCTCTCTATACAAGGCTGTCCATCCCAGACAAGCTGCTAGCCAGACTAAACCAGTCCTCCAAGCTGTTATCACTCCGTTTTCCACTGCAGATTACACTCAGCACTGTCTCACACCACCCTCACGGTGAGCCTTTCAAAGCAAATCTGTTTTGTCAGGGCCGTAGCCATATGGAGTCCTTTGAGGACTATGAAGAGGCAAATGACTTTTCCCTGCAAAAAAAGAGCCAGAGGCAGACGCCTACTTTAAGTCCATTAAACTGATTGAAACATTCCTCTCTCCTCTCAGCGCTCGCTTTTGCTCTCTCTTCTCTCTCGCGTGTGGACGTCAGGGCCTAATTAACCCCTATAGCCAGCTGTCTGAGACTGAGTGTTGAGTAGCGTCCTATCATCCGCTGTTAGCAGATTTCCTTATCAGTTGTGTGAGCTGGAAGTGTGAAAACTACATTTTCTAACTGTGCCGCTCTTTTGGTGTGGCTTGTTTTTATCTGCAACAGACAGCGAAAATATCCCCTTGTCGCGGGATATTTAGGCAGGAGAACAGAAAAGAAAGTAAACAAGGATACATGTGACTAAAATACGAGGCAGGATCAATGTTAATTTTGAGGCCAGTAAAATGCAAAACAACAGAATAGTTTGGAGATGGTAAAAAAGAGAGAAATCATTTCAATGGATAATTGGCTAGAGCAGTTCGTTTTCTGAACGCTATCACAGCCTGGTGCAGCTGACTTTTTGGCATGCAAATTTTCTACAGGGTATTGAGGGAAAAAAAGTGAAACTTATGGTTAATTATTATGAAAAGTACAAGAAAACTTCCTGTCTTTGAGAATGTGAGAACTGCAAAGCAGCCTGCTGCTTCATAGATTGTTACTAAAACAGATTGTTATAGATAAGAAATATAAGAAAAAACCTGATTTATAACTATTTATTTTGCTGGTATGGACTGTGAATATTCTGTTCTTCTGTTCAGAAAACTTTTAAACACTGCAATCATCCATTCCACAATATCATACCACATCTCTTTATCTGAACCAAAATGTGTATTTCTCTCTGAATACACTACTGTCACCAAGCCTATGTTCTATATTCTGGTGTTGTAATATTATCTCACGATTTCCATATATTGTGTCACAACACATTTTACAATCATAATCAAAACTTTTTTAGAGCAAATAGTTAAACGGAGACAAAATGCAGGATAGAACGTCTGCCTAAAAAGAATCTTGAAAGAAAATGGGAACTACTGATAACTACTGATTTCTGCTAGTCGGTTACTTGTCAACTACTTGAATACTTGTGGTTTATGTTACTGTTAAAAAAAATAATAGTTTATGTCAACAAGTGTTTATTAACTGGCAGCCCAATGTTTCCAACAATTACAAAATAAATTGTGTTAAGAAAGACAAGCGGTTGAGCTAGTCGAGTAGTCTATGCCAGCCTTCGTAATACATAAATAAATAATAATAATAAAAAAAAAACATTGGTGAATGTCATATTTTTTTTTCTTTGGAATTAATCTTTCAAAATAAGTCCAGAAACACGAATTAAGTTCTGTAAGAGAACCACCATTTAAATTCCACACCTACACACAATTTCTAATGCAAATAAAAGCTGAATTGACTTGACATGAAGCGCAAAATCATATGAACTTATTTTTAGTTTGCAGTTATGCCAATGCATCAGCACTCATAGAAAAAAAAAAAAAAAAAGGCTGGATTCACACTAAACAGTTTAATTTGATCCAGGTCTGAATCAGCGATGAATTGGATTAAACTAAGATTGGATCAGTCTTTTAAATGCGCAGTAATTGGGTGATTACTTGTGTTTAGGCAGCAACAAACACAATTCAATTACTCTGTGTGTCTACACCTCCAAATAGGTATTTCATTGGCAATGGAATCAGTAATGTATCATTTAAAGTCGAATCCCTCAGCTGAATTGATCTGATAAGTTCACATACATCTGTGGCTGGTGATAAGGACACTTCCCTGCATTCTCCTCTTTGAACGTGGCCTGTAGTGCAGGGGCTGATGGAAAATCTGCTGTAATACTTCAGAGACACTCTGATATGAGCATCTGTTTGGTCTAAGCTTCCCTTGGTGAGTTAAACTGATAAAGATGTTCCTTCAACGTTCGCGTTTAAAATATACAAAACATCTTGTGTGATTAAATCCTTGTGATCGCAGAAGATCAACGGGCAATATTGGCATTGCCATTTTCAAGGCAATGAGATTAACTGCGGTCTCATGAGGGACGAGAGCAGAGTTTAGCTTCAATTCGCCAGGACTTCGTGTATTTAATTCACATACAACATGGAGGATGTCAGCATGGACAGCAGAGGGATAATAGAACAGCCTGCAACTGCAACACGTCCGTTTTCCATGGATAATTTACAGTGCTTGTTTGCCGTGGAGCAGACCCACGCTCTACTGAAGGGAAACAGAAAATATTGTGCTGCTCTTTTTTTCTCTTTGTTTATGAATTCCCACGAGAATCAAGTTTTCTTTGAGGAGAGCTCAAAAAAAATAAAGATGAAAGTTTTGTCCTCAGAGGCAAGCTATTTGGGCCGTAACATTACAAAACTTAGACCCAATCTGACTCATAGCCTTTGCTTTTGCTGCCCAGCCAGTCAAATCTGATGGCTAACAAACCAAAGAGGTGGAGAATAATGGAAGAATCTGAACCTGTTAAGACACGACGGGAACGCTCACAGCACAGAGAAAGGGGGGATTCACATGAGGTCAATTTCATTAAGAGCATTGTAATTCATAATTACCTTATACAAAGTTCTATCATAAAACTCTAGATGGAGCGGGCTGATAGGTCTTTAACACAACCTGCTTTCAATCAAATCGTTATCTATAGGGCACAGCTGATTGGTTCCGGCTGTATTAGTAGCCAATGAGATAGCGTACTCAACCTTAAAGGGTTGGTTCACCCAAAAAAATGAAAATTATGCCATTAATTACTCACGCTCGTAAGACCTCCGTTCCACAGTTTAAGATATTTTAGATTTAGTCCAAAAGTTTTCTGTCCCTCCATTGAAAATGTATGTACGGCATACTGTCCTTGTCCAGAAAGAACATACAGACATCATCAAAGTAGTCCATGTGACACTAGCGCGTTAGTTAGAATGTTTTGAAGCATCAAAAATACATTTTGGTCCAAAATTAATAAAAACTACGAATTTAATAAACATTGTATTCTCTTCCAGTTCTGCGTTCACGCATCCGCAGGATGACGTAAGACGCGGTTGACGTAAGACGTTGCTGACTTGTTCTCTGGTTACTGGTTACCAAAGAACACGTCAGCAGCGTCTTACGTCAGCCGGGTCACTGCAGACAGAACCGGAAGACAATACAATATTTAATAAAGACAGAGGTCTTACGAGCTTGGAACGACATGAGGGTGAGTCATTAATGACATCATTTTCATTTTTGGGTGAACTAACCCTTTAAAGTACTTGAGTAGGGGTGGTTATTCTGTCTGATTTCCCGATTCGATTACGATTATTGAAGTTCCGATTCAATTACAGTCGATTTTCGATTTTTCCATTTCACAACAATAAACGAAAATACACTTGACCAACATATGATTATATTAGCAGCAGCAACATTTTGGTATTAATTGCACTTTTTATTTGTTTGATATTCAATGAAAATGTAATGATGGTTAGTGAGGACATGCACACATGCTTGTTGTCTACTTAGGCAACCCATTATCTTTAAATAATTTTTTTTTTTTTTTTCAAAAGCAATTGTGTTGCATTATGCAAAGATACAAAGGCACCTGGTTCTATTAATTGACAGCATTGAAATGCATTTTGTGATTGCATTCAATTGAAAATCAAGCAAGTTCGGGGGACTTGAAGTACACCCAATTCAGAGAATCACCCAGTAATTCAAAAGAACAGCATTTATCTGAAATAGAAAGCTTTTGTAACATTAAACAATACCGTTCAAAAGTTTGTTGTCAGTAAGATTTTTTTATTTAATTTTTTGGGCGAAAGAAAAAAGAAATCTATACTTTTATTCATCAAGGATAAATTGAGTTGATCAAAAGTTGAAGACATTTATAATGTTAGAAATCGATCGTCTGAATCTTTTGTGTGTGTGACTATAAATACTTTGCTTTAAAAGTATAAAGTAATGACCCATAAAGAATTAATGTACAATATATTTTAGTAACATTGCAAAGAACCAACAGGAAAATAAATGTGTGCCTGAACTAGGAGCATACTTGTAGTAAATTAAGACTGGTACTGTACAGTCGAGTGTTTTTCCTCCTCTGGCTGGAAGCGTGTCACATGGCTTCTCATATTTGTTGTGTTTCAGTCGTTAGTTTTATTCTACAAAGCTTACAACTAGTGTGGCTCTTTCCCTTCAACTTCAGAAGCCAAAATATTTCCACATGTCAGCCTAACCAGGAGGGTGTTTAGATCTTGCGCGCCATCGCGTCTTTGTTATGTGCGCGCCACAGACGGTCCGGCCACTGCACTTCCGCGATTCAGAGTTACGTCTTTCGCGTCAATATTACGTTATTATAAATATATATGAAAAACTTTTTTTGTTTGTTTTGGAAAATCGTTTTTTTTTTTTTTACATTTGTGAATCCACGTCCGCATCGCGATGCATCGAAGAATCGATTTTTCCCCCACCCTTATTGGATAGCATTTGCTTAGCAGTGCAGCACACTTTCAGAAACCCTCCACCTTCCCCAGCTCCACCTGTATAGATCTTCTGGAGGTAATTCATGTACACTATATTGTACAGCAGCAACATATCTTACTTGCTCACAGCACCGTGTCGTGTATTGACAGTAGTAAGCCCTCTACTTGTTTGCATCTACAGCAACAGCAATAACTTACAGCAGGTTATTCCACCAAGAACAAACTTATCAACACTGACATAGCCATTACCACGCCAAACAATGTGAGAGCTATCTTGACAGAAATACTTTTCCTTGATGGCATAATAAATGAAATTATAAACTGAAAAAATCATCACAACATTGTCATCATCAAGAATATAATTATTACCATGACCTTTATTGTGGATACGTACCAGGTTTGGACCATTCAGCGACTGATCCATTGTAGACCTGGTTCTTGAACTCGGGTCTGTTGTCATTCATGTCAATGACATAGATGAAAAGATCAATAGGAGGCTCCATTTGGTTCCCATTAATATCCACAGCATGGGCTCTGAGCTGTGGACGAGACAACAATAAAAGCACATTAATTAAAAATTCATAATTTGCCCATAACTTCACCTCTACAGAGACTTCTGTGGAAAGCACAGCACTGATATTAAATCAGATTTAAGAAACTCAGAGGCATTAAAGATCTCAGTGTACTCGGCGGAGGCACTGAATGGAAATTACATTCATATTTCAGACATGTTAGATAAGGGATCCATTGGGAAGGTGTTGCCTGGTTCCTATCTGAAATCCATGAGTTATAATTCAGAGGACTTTCATGAGAAGAGAGTATGAAATGTTTAGCTTCACAAAAAAATAAAGAAAATAAATACACACATATAGATGTGTCAAACGATTCAAATATTTAATCGCGATTCATCGCATTGATGTCATAGTTAACTCATTAAACGTGTTAAAAACGTGTTAAGTTTTTATCTATTCTAAATATCTCTTGATTTCTTTTTGTCCCATTATTTTTTCTAATTTTAATGCTCTTATTAACATGGAAAAGTGGATCAGCTTGCTTTGTGCAAATGTTTTTTATTTATTTATTTTTTTTTTTTTTATTGAGAACAACATTGGCATATTGTGTTCAATTTCACACTAACATTCTCACAAATGATCTCTCACACAATGTAACGCTGTCCATCAATAAAACGATGAAAGGAATACTGGACATGCTGCAATGATGATAGCTAAGTTCACAACGACAAAACACACAGATCACTTTGGTCTTGTCAATGGAACCATTTGGCAACTTTTTAAAAGTAAAATTTCCATTCAGAATCTTATTGGCATCCATTTCAGCGTCTCGTACTAGCCATCCACTCAAAACGTAACGATAACCAAATATTTGGCCGGCTCGCAAGCCCAAACAAGTGTGTGTGATGTGCCTGTTGTTTTGGTTCTGGTCTAGCTAGATCTGCTTGCGCTTTGGTCGACGAAGCAACAAAACGGCGCATACCATGTCCTGTTGCAAAAGCAAGAAAAAACAATAAAAAAAAAAACAGTTTGCTAGGCCAAAAAGGCCATTAATCGCGTGATAAATACAATTGACGCCATTAAAATGGACTTTATATATATATATATATATATATATATATATATATATATATATACACACACACACTGTATATATATATATATATATATATATATATATATATTACACTGTACAGTATATATACATATATATACAGTACTGTGCAGAAGTCTTAGGCACACTAGTATTTTCGCCTCAAAGAAATGGTTTTAAGCCAGTTATTTATATATTTTGTTGTAGTGTCTCAGTAGGAAATACCAGTTTACATTTCCAGACATTACTTGTGCCATTGTAATAATCATTGTAATAATTCAGAGAAAATTTTGAATGCACAAGGATTTTGACAACAGCCAATGCTCCACACGGAGGTCGGATCTCACCATCATCGAGTACATCTGAAATTATATGAAGAAACAGAAAAAAAACAGAAAAAAAAAACAGAGACTAAGACCAGAAGAACTGCGGCAACGTTTCCAATGACGCTATGTGCAATACCTGGGCAAAAGCTGTTTTAAACGTAAAGGGTACTAAACATCTATTGATTTGATTTAGTTAACTGTTAAAAGTTAAAAACAGTTAATAATAGTTAACTAATAAAATTAATTGATAAATAAAATCTATTTATGATTATGACATTATTTTTGAAAACATTCTCATTTACAGCATTTTTACACAAGTTCTTTTTCACAGTACTGTAGCTTTGCAGGCAGGCAGGCACTACCTTCGAGACGTTACCTTATATATATATATATATATATATGACTAATTTAGTTAGATCTCTGAGAAGCGTGCAAGGACAGATAAAGATTTCTTTATAAGCGTGCAAGGACAGATAAAGCTTTCTTTAATTCAGATAAACAAACCCCTTAAAAACAACAACAACAAAAAAAGTTTTTTTAGTGATAGAGCATTCCCAGGGGAAACAGGATTAGGAAACGAAAAACAAAAGAGCGAGAGATAGCTCAAGAAATAGAGCGAGAGTGAAAAAAAGAGAGGAATAGATGAAAGGTTTAAGGCTGGATTAACTTCAAATTCTCTTCTTAGAATTTATTCACTACAGTCTACAGAATTACATGTGCACGCACTAAATAAAACTATTATCCTAAAATCCCTCACCAGAATTACATCCCAAATAAGAGGGTCACATTGCTCCATACACTATACACAGGAACATCGAGAATCTATATGCATTTCTGCAGTAATACGACACCTGCCGCCAAAAGCTTTCATTTAATATTGCCCCAAGACGACAGGTTTTTGTTGTGCATGGCAAAACTAACTGTCAAGCGAACAAATAAATAAAGACGCACAACAGGAAAATCTGTTTCCTCAGCTGCTGTGCTTAGCATTCTGCAAGGGTTGGCTGTGTGTGTGTGTGTGTGTGTGTGAGAGAGAGAGAGAGAGAGAGAGAGAGAAAGAGAGAGAGAGAGAGAGAGTGTGAGCATGTAGATATGTGTGAGATTGTCTGTTGTTAGTGGCTGAGACACTGCATCTTTGATCTGCCGACCCACGAGAGCGTGCGGACTGCAAATGTGTGGCTTAATGGCATTATTAACATGCTAGCTGACAGAACTGAAACATTAGACAGGGACAGAGAGAGAGGGGGGCAGAGAAACAGAGAATCCTTCTCTAGTTCTTTATCCCTTTGTTTATTTTCTTCTCTTGCCACTGTGTCAAAGCCATCAACTCTCAAATTCTGCAACACACTAGTGGTGGGAGACTTGTGGGCAGTGAAGAAAAACTATGGTAAACTCACGCAATGAGGGCAAACTAAAGATAGAGGGTCAGTGTCATGCCTGCAGCACATTCACCATGGTCATTTTTAGCATAGGGAAGTGTTATGTACCCCCACGGCACCCCTTCATCATTAACATTATCATAGTGGTCATTATTACAAGACTCACTTTTCAGTGTGATAAAAAAAAAAAAAAAAGTAATACTTTTATTTTGAAAGGATGCATTAAATTGATCTAAAGTGACGGTAAATACATTTATAATGTCAAAAAAATAATATTTTGTGACATTATATTAACTTTCTATTCATCAGAATCCCCCCAAAAAATGTATCACCATCTCAAAACAGCAAGAGATAGCGCAAGAACGAGATTGAGAGTGAAAAACGAGAGGGATAGAGGAAAGGTTTAAGGCTGGATTAGCTCCAAAATTCCCTTCTTGGAATGTATTCACTACAGAATTACATGTGCACGCACTAAATAAAACTATTATCCGCAAATCCCTCACCAGAATTACATCCCAAATAAGAGGGTTGCATTTCTCCATACACAGGAACATCGAGAATCAGTATTCATTTCAGTAGTAATACGATAAGGATACTGATACGATATTCTGCGGTAATAATGTTTCTTGAGCACCAAGTCAGCAGATTAGAATACACCCTGAACACTGGAGTAATGGGTTTGAAATCAAATTAGAAAATTTAATTGAGAAATATATAAAAAGTTTTTTATATATTTCACAATATTTCTGTCTTTTTGATAATATAAATGCTGCCTTTGTGAGCAAAAGAGACTTGTGCTAGAAATATATATTTTTAAAACTTATTGACCCAGTGTATTAGGAAAACAAACTTTTTTATAGCACTTCATTTTACAGTCCTGTTCCCCATGTACATACAGTACTATGTTCTTATGATAGTAATTCCAATTACTGGATAATATACAGTAGGCGCTAAATCTAGACCCTACACTGAACCTAACCTTAAATCTTGTAGTTACCTTATATTACAGAGTACTTTCTTAGGTAAGTACACTGCAAGAACACCCAAATACAGATACTGCAACCAACTTATTTTATTATTATATTTTTTTTTTTATCTTTTCAATGACATTCATTGATAATTATTACACAATAAGAGATTTTGGAAGCATTATGGAAGTAAAGCTAGTCAATTTTCATTTTATGTTGACTTTAAACATACATTTTCATTTTATGTTGGGTAGCTCATTAAACATCCAGTTGCTGTTTTGGTTCCTGAGGGAGTCATCACTATTGTTAACACAAATGTTGTTAACCATGAGCCATCACTATTGTTAACCTCAGGTTGCTCCAGGGGGATTGTCCTTTTAATAAGTTCATGACTGCAATCAATTGCAGCACCGGAGACACAAATTCTGGCCCTTGTGATGTGCTGATAAACAAGCATTGCATTCTACTCAAGAAGGCTCTAATTGAACCGGCCTCCTTCTATGTTAGGCAAAAAGCAATAGGTACTGTATAAATATGGGCTGTCTGCACTAGAACAACCAGAGTTAGTGGTATTTGTGAAAAGATATCAAGATGCAGATATGAGTTATCATATGGATACTATGGATAATATGGATATTATGGTGAGTAACAGTATAGGGCTGCGTAAGTCAATCGCTGCACAACCCCCACGGTGCTCATACGCCTATCGTCCTGACTCAATGAATGTAACCATCACAATTAGAATCATACACATTAGCTCTCTTTCAAACCCTAGTGAGTTGTCTCCCTACCAATATAAAAAAATCAAATAAAAAATACAAATATAAACCGTACTAATCATCAATGAATACATAAATGATAAACATAATGCATGAATGAGTGAAAGAATGAATAAACAAAAACAAAATATAAAACAGGGTGTCATTTCTATATTCATTATTTTACCTATTGTATATTTAAAAATACAATTAATTTGTAAATATTTAAGTTTGGACATACAGTAAACATCATGATATTGTAAAATATCTGCAATTATCAGCAGGTATTACTGTCAAATGATCCTTATGAAATTATTCAAACTCGCAAAGACGCATTAAAATTGGTCAAAAGTTACAGTAAAGTGGACACTGATTTGATCTGCCTTACTTCAGATGGACGATGAAGCAATTTTATTGTGTTATCACTGTGAAGCTGCTTTGATGCAATCTGTCTTGTAAAAAAGCGCAATACAAATAAAGATGACTTGACGTGACTCGAGTGT